GCACTCTACTACTAATCGGTTGGAAGAGTGCGTTCTTATGCGGTCAAGTCACGAATACAAATAACGTAACCACCAAAATAACTATGGGCACTTTTCTCTCCACCACTCACTAAACAATGTTTAGTCTAATGTTTGCTATTTCTCACAAAACGGTCATGGCTGCTTTTGTGTTTTATTGTATCTGTTCAAAACCGTATGTACTTAAATTTAGTTGAGAAACTAATTAATTTGTTTTGCTTTTATAACTTTAAGAGAAATAGAAAAGCTTTTACAGAATTAAATTTTTATCAATAACTACATCAAAAAAATGATCAAAGTTATTATACGTAAAATTTAACTTTATGATCTTTATGTATTGGAAATAGATTTTAATGTGAATTTATTTGGCTAAAATATATAAATTCAAAAGATTTTATTGGATTTTAAATATAAGAAAAGTTAACTCAACACTAAGTTCAATAGCATTCTACCATTCTCGATATTTTTAAAAGAAAAACACAATCTCTTAGACATTTGGGTGTATTTACGTTTTTTTTTTCATGATTGAAAGATATTGGACTTTAAAAAAACATGTTAGCTTATAGTCATCGAGTTCTTTTAATTTCATATAACCTAAACACAATTAAATAACCTCGAATGTGTGAGTTAGTTTAAATTATGTTAATTTATTCCATAATGATGCTAGATCATGTATATTGAAACACAATATGTAAAAGATTTATTTTAATGGCCAACCATTTTGAAATGAAAAACATTAATTAAAAAATTTCCGCGTAAAGAGGTTTCGAAAAGAAATATCGATCCTTAATTTAGTCTAAGTCCACGATTTCTTAACATATCTTACTAAAGTCCTTTCAATAAACGGTTATCTGAAGATTTGTAGATTTTCCATGATAATTAGAGTATGTGTTTCTAATTGAACCCAATAATCATCCTTATGAAAACTTTCCTAGCGATATTGCTTATACAAGGTTCAATGCATATTTAGGGAATCATTATGGCTTTCTNACAAGAGTCGACACGTCTCTCATCCTCCAAAAGATGGAACTCCTACCCAGAGCTCTGTAACTATTCCTACGACATTCCAATATTTTATGCAAAACTTAAGATATGACTTCTAATCCAAACAAATAGCGCTAAAGAAGAGAAATATGAGATGCTCCACCGAAAGAAGACAAAACATATTAGTTTTTTTTTTAAATATCTTACTGTTCAAATTCAAATTCAAATATTTTATGTAGAGACGAAAAAAAAAACAAATCAACTGGAAGTTCATCCATCAAGTTTTCCCATGAAATAGCATAATGTGGATATCGTATGGTTTCTTTTAATGATTATGTGTGTGCTCAAGATTTAGCCATTCATGTTATGGTTTAGCAACCTTAATAAAAAAATTGATGACTTAGGTTTAGGCTACGATGCTATAGTTTAGGGTGTAGGGTCTATTTGTATTATTTTCAATGTTTACGTAAACTTATGAGGGTTTAGGCTTTCATGTTAGGGTTTAGTATCCATAAATTTTCAAATAAAAAATGATGATATAATATGAATGAATAATTTTAAACGTTTCTTTAAAAAAAACTAATAAAAAGTATAACTAAATAAAAAATATTGGTAATTAAAAATAATAGAAATGAGGAAATTCAAAAATGAGGATGATAATAATAGTGAAAACGGATAAAAATATCATAAATAATGGAATTAGTTATCTTCAAAACAAATAAATAAATATAAAAAATAAATGTATTGTTTTAAATATTTTACGTGCATTTGTGATAGTTTAAACTTACATATTAGGGTTTAGTACTCCTTAATTATGTTAAAAATATAAAAAAATTTCAATAGTTTATATTCATTATTGAAGATTTACGTTCACATATTACCCTTTAATTTGTTTTTGTGTGAACTTAGGAAGTATAGAAGG